GACCGTGGATTTTCTTGTAATTCTAAATTTAGTTCAACAAATTGAGTTGTGCCAGCCACATAGCCCTGATTCTGAACCAGTTGCAGGATCAGTCTTTAGGTTACAGGTTTCCTATAAGGACCTTTGGACTTCATGAGCTCCTTTATGAGTATGTACCAATTTCTAAATAGAAACCAACCGGTTCATTTGTATTTTGCAGAAAGTTACTGCTGGCATCTAGTGGTGTTCTTGGAGAGGACAAAAAACTGACAAATTTGACTGCTTCATGAGCAAGTGCAACTGCTAACCTGATACTTCAATGCTCACTTCTCAAAATCTAATAAAATGTCACATTTCCTGTTGTAAACAGCTTTCTTTGAGGGGTGGGGGGGGAGTTTGGGGGGTGAGACAGAGGAGTGGGAGTATAGTACAAATAGCAACCCTATGCTTTTCAAATGATTTTACTGTCACACAGAAAAGGTGATCTAATGCACTTCTAATTTTCTTATAATTAAAGTACCTAAAATATAATATTTCTCATCATTCTGTTATTAGTTCAGTTGCTAAAGAGCACAGTGTAAAAACATTTAAAAAGTATTCTGGATTATTTTTTTATCAATCTATTTATACTTCAACTATTAGCCATAATGAAGCAGTGACTAATAGTTTCAAGTCCCAAAATCTCAAGGAATTTCAATGAACCTATTCAGTATTTACTTATGTATTTAGCCATGTAGTACTATACAGGATCAAATCTACTGTCTTCCCTGTCTCCTATGATTTCTCCAGTGCGTTTAGCTGAAAGTTTGTTTTTTTCCCAGAACTGTTAACACAAGGAATTCAAAACAGAAAAGATGCATATTATCCATTGTCTGTTAACAAAGTACTGTAAGGAAGATTACTTCCAAAGTACATTCTTACAAGCTGTAGAAATTGCAGTTCTAGAGTTTGGGGGATACAAATAACTGTTTTGAGACATTTATCTGTATATACATACAACTGTTTTCATTATAGGTACAGATATTAGGTATATAAAGATGCTGAACCTCAATTGAAGGGAAATTAATTTGATTTATGGTCCTGTTTATGTAGATAGATGATTGTCATCTTACAAAGTGTTTCCCAGAGTTATCAGGAGCAGCCCAATATGAAAAACATCATACAACATCTAACTTGTGTGGTGGAATTAAAAGGAAAAGTCAAGGTGAAGTCATTTTTAGGGAACCCAGAATATGTACTTCCCCAATATGAATTAGACCTTACGCTTGACATAGCCATGCATGCTGGGCTGAAGGAGGTTACTTAGATACGCTGAAACTTCATTTCTTACCAAAATTCATGGATGTCCAAATAGTTGGAGCTATTAGCTAGACAGATGCAGATGATGGCAGAATTATAATTGTGGACTTAATCTTTGGCAATTAATAAATTCCTGACTAGTTTTGTTTATTCCATTGACCATTTTTAAGGCAAAGATGCCATTCTTTGCCCTGTACATGTTATAGACAGTCCCATAACAAATTTTCTTATTGCAATGTCAATGTTCTCACTCCTGTACTTTTCCTGTGTAATATTCTGTTTGCTTTTCGATTTTTACTGCAGGTTTTAGGTTCATTACATTGTGGGTAATGTTTTGTGGTCTGGGATAGTGGTCTGTGCTGATGTTCTGTGGATCCTTCTGATCAAGATTGTTTTTGAAGAGTTTGTAAAAGCAGGAAGCAGGTCTCAGTGACATGGACTGTCACTTCCAGGTTTTATTTGGCAAGATTCTCTGCAGAATGTATATCAGCTCTTGCAGAATCTTTTTAGCTCTCAATATCTTTTTTAATTAACAATGATCAGCAATTGGATGCACAACAAAGTTTCAAATGGATATTAACAAGTCATTAGACAGATCTCTGTGGTGACCTTCGTCATCTTCCATATTTCCTAGCAGTGAATGGTAAATCCTTACTTCTGGTAAATTACGTCAGAATCCACCCAATGAAACCTCCCGGGGGCAAAATGTCAATCTTAGATGGAATTTTATTATATGTTCTCTTCTGATTCCTGATCCTTATGATTCCTAAGTTTCTGTCTGCCTGGGATGAAGTCTCATTACTACAGCAGGGACCCATATTTTAAGTGTATAATTTCTGTATCTCATTTTCCATTCTTTGCATAGATGCACAATACACTGGAAGATTTCTTTTTGCCTTCACTGCCCATTTATATTATCATCAAATACCCTCTAATATTTGAGAAAATGGAAACCCAACAGATAATCAGTTTCCAATGTTACAGACATGCTGTTTCAGTTGTGCTAAACAGAGAGGTGACTCATACTTTCTTAACATTGTTCTTCAGTTTTAACTTTCCCTAATGCAAATTAGTCCGAATGTTATGCTGTTATTTTGTTAAATTCCCCACTGGATCAAAATTATAGCCAAGTTACTGAGGCATTAGGAATTAAATTCCCTTATCAGTATTGGCTAATGGAGAACAACACAGACATTACCATGCATGGGACCATATTTATATGCAAATGTCTATCTGTATTTGCAAACAAATATTTCCAAATTTATTTTGTATGCTCAAAGCATTAAGCTCTAGGCAAAAAGAAACTGATCCCAGTGAATGCATTTTGTGCAATATAGAAAAAAATGGTAATAGTCTCTAATTTCTAGACATTGACTCAAGCCCGGTGCTTTACATTTTGGTTTTAAAATGTTTTCTTGGACCTCAGCTTTTGTAGATACATTGCTGTTCAAAACAGTCATATTTTAATACATAAAACTTGTCTTACAAATTCAATGGAATTGTAAATGCGTATCAACTGTTAAACCTAGTATTTTTTTAGCCAGTTACAATAAGACATACTTCTCTATTTTTTGTTCCTTTGTTCTGGCTAGGAAAAGGAATCGAAAGATATTGTTCCATGCTTTATTTATAGATAAAAGCTTTCACAATCTTAATCTTAGAAAAGCAACAGATGCTTCAACTCTGCAGATAAATTTAGTAATAATCTAATGCACAAGTGTTCGGATTCTGTCCTCAGATTTTAATCTAACAAGATTACAGTCAAAGCCTGTTAGTTTTTCTAGCAGTTATGATCGACCTTTCTTTTTTTTCTTCTCAGTGAACAATTTCCTAACTTTCTCTGTTCCTCTTGCAAAGAATGGGCTACAATGGTGCTGTTGACAATGGACCTAAAAGAGCTGTTGATTGGATTCAAATAGCTGTTGTGTTCACTTTGATTCAGAATGAAAAATTTTAATTTTAGACACCTGTAGAAGTTTTATTTTAAGAACATTGAATCATGTTACTTCATCATATACATTTACTCAGTTCATAATTTTGTCTTATATTTGTTACATTTAAAACATACAGGCCCCATTTACCATTACTAAAATAAACTACTTCTAGATATCAAAATTTAATTAGAAAGTTGAAATGATTTGGTATTTCTTCTTCAAAAACTTTGTCCAAATATTTGTTCCTTTAAAACATCTGGTTTTCTAAGGACCGTTACAATTGCTTTGACTGTCCTGCCCAACAAACCAAAAACTATAACTAAAATCATATTTTGTTGCTTTTAGTAGCTAATCTAAGACAAATTAAAAAAAAAATCTTGTTGGGAGCAATGTGCAATTATCCTTGAATCCTTCACAATAAAACAAAGCATTGCCAAAAATCGCACACAATTAATAGAACATACAGAAGCAAGATCATCTGTCTGAAGTCCACTAGCACCATGTAAACAGTGATATTTCCATAAGGCTCACAAGGAATATTCACTACTTTTAAAAGCATGTTCATGATTTGACTGCTAGCTAGTAAGTGAAATTAGATGCAGCAATTTATATATGTGGCTGCTGTGATACACCCTAGAAACTTTTTAATACCTGGCAGTTGATAGTGTCTCCTTTCGTACCACTGAAGTCAGGTAGGGTTGAAAATATATTTATTTCGGTGAGGAAAAAAATAACCTAAAGAATAACTTATTGCTACTATTTCCATATTTTTATGACAGACAATAGAAAATAGGTGTGGACAAGACATGTACTGGGGCCATTGTATTTGAAGTTAGCTGTCAGCACAGCCAATTATTTCTTTGGGGTAGGGAAGTAAAAAGGGTGGTTTATCTAGATGTGTTTGCATATTTATTCACTACTGTGCATCTTACCTTCTGTGAGCTCCAAGTGAATCTGAGCATTTAGGGCTTTGAGGCCACAGTGACTACTCAGGAAAAAAAATCTGTGCAAAAAGATACTGGGTATAACTGAATAGATATTTTAGTAAATGGAAAGATAAAATGCAGTAGTGGCTCTTTTAAATACAGCTTATCTTCAGAAGCTAGAGGCTACACTGCCATCAAAGGCATAGCCTTTGGTGGGAAAATATTCCTAAAAGTGGAAGGCTTGTCCTAGTGTTGGTTATCTGTGTTGCAAGCATGAATGTAAATCAAATGATGGAATTTCTTCTTTATTATTAAAGTTTGCTGCATTCACAGTGAAACCATTTAGCATGGGAGCCACTGTATATGATCTGCACTAGGATATAGATTTGCTGTTCAAAATATATCATAAAAACATAAATGAAAATTTGCCAAAAAAAGGGGGAACATCAAAAAAAAGGAAGTGATTCTGAAACTAGACAATTAAATTCTGCGGGGAGATGCTGTTAAATAGAAACTACTGTACATCAAAATATGCATGCTTAATTGAGAAAACTGGAAAAGAACAAGATTTTAAGAAGACTGTCACCTTTTGGGGAGAGTTCCTAGAGGTAGAAAAATATTTCCACAATACAAAGGTATCCAATTCCTAAATCCTAACTTCTTTACTACGTCAGTATGAAAAAAAGCTAAAACATTTAATAGGAAAAAAAATATATACATAAATCCAGTGCTGCAAACATGAAACATCGAGATACCTCTTTTAAAAAATGTTGACATAATGGAGTGAAATGTTTTGACCTTCTAACCCTGTCTAAAAGGTTAACTTAAAAGTGACTAACTTCTCATTTCTCTGGCTCCACAGTTCTCTCTTTGGTATTAGAATTCCCTGGATGGAAAGTAAAGGCACTGACACAGTACATGTATGAGTAGTGATGCATCCTTGTTGGAGCAGTGGAACATGCAGAGAAAAAGGTTGCAAAGGCTGCCTTTGTAACTGTCATAAAAAAGAGAGGAGAGGTGGTTTTGAACAGGAATCCATCCTAGAGCTGAAATCTTAGTTCTCTAACTCGCCTCCTGGCTACGCTAAGTAAAGCAACCTAATTGTACTGAAATGAGCTATCATAAATTGGGCCAGAATTTTTCAGATGTGATCTGTTCTGCTCTGATAATGTCACTTATTCTGCAGGTGCAGTTGATCTTTACAGTCAGTGCAACACATCAGAAAAGCGTACACCATGGTGTCAAAGCTGATGAGCAAATGCAGTTTATCTGTGCATGTTCACTGGCATTTTGCATGTTATCTTCAGGTAACAAACACTTAGCCAGAGCCACTGCTCATGGCTGGCTACTAGGTAGCTTAAATCTCAAACAATGTCTGGAGTTCCCAGCTACGTGCTCAGGTCATGTTAGCAGCTTTTATTCACAAACATTTTTTTAACTCCACAAAACGAATATAAAAGAAGTGCATGGAAACAAATTCTCCTGTCTTTGAGGTTTGGGAGAATGCTAATGAACACAGTCTGCCTGCCAGCCCTCAGGTACCCTTTTCCACATTTGTGTCAACTCTGAGCCTGATCTCTTGTTGGGCTTTCTGGACAGTCTGGACTCAGAGATGTTTCTCAGATGTGCTGATTCAGACTCAACATGCCTGGAAAAGCTGGAGAAAGAGATCTTCGGAGAAACAAATTCCATATCAACCTCCATCTCTCCTCCTTTGGGGTCCCCATCAGCTAAGCTGGAGGCCATTAATGAATTGATAAGGTTTGATCATATATATACAAAGCCCCTAATACTGGAGATTCCTGTTGAAGCAAGCAACCAAACCAATATGCTAGTGAAAATTGAGAAAGAATCTCTCTCTTCATCTGAAGACAAGGCTATCCCTGAGGACCCAGCATCTGTGAAGGAAGAACCTGTAGACAGTTTCATGCCTGAACTGGGCATTTCTCATTTGCTTTCTTCTCATCCTAGCCTTGAAGCCTCAAACTACTTGTTGGATGCCTGTAATGACTCTGGGTATGAAGGATCCCTGTTGCCCTTCAGTGATGTCCTCTCCACTTGGCACTGACCACGTGTGGGAGAATAGCTTTGCTAGTGAACTCTTTTCCCAGCTGATCAGTGTTTAGCTTGGTAGTGTTAACTCCCCTTGGGTAACATATGCCCCTTTGTGATGTGTGTATGGGGAAAATCAAGTGTATTCAGAAAAGTGTTGCTCTCTTCTACTCATGCTAGTAGATGGAGTGATGGTATGAAAAAACATAGGGTGTCCTGCCCTGCCCCTCCATCAGTGTTGGCTTATGAGCGAGGAAACTTGGTTTCTCAATAACTTGCTAATTCTATATGAACCTGAAAATGTTAATTTTGTTTTACATTTAAAATTTTAACACCAAAAACTGCAGTGGGATACTTATGTATAGACAACTGGAGTAAAACTTTAATAGTCTCTACATCTTACAGCTTTACTATGTAAATGCTTGTTTTCCATGTGCTATGTAGAGTTGCTTTCTCCATTCAATATTTAACTGTATTGGTGCAATTAAAATGCAGTGCAGCTCACTGACCCTTTTTTGCTTTAGATCTCAGTGGGGAGGGGGGAGTATCTGGGCCTTCCAGAACTTAAGTTTAGGTTCCTCAGTGTCTCATTCCACCAAAAGGCACTGATAAGCAGCACTTGCACAGTGTCTGTAGCTGGATGCTGTAGCGGCTTCTTCTCGATGTGGTGCAGGGGTTTGTGTGAGGGCCAGAGCTGCTAGTGCAAAACCTTCAGCCTCAATAAGGAAAGTGGGTGGCAGGAGCTTGAAATCTGAATAAAGTCACAGTGGTGTCACCCTGGTGTGGCCAGTAATGCCAACCAAAATGCTCAGTTGGAGGGGAGGTGGGGGCAAGACAGATATGGGGTGAAAAAGGTGCAGATTCTGTGTTAGCACAGGATATTCTGAAGCATCAAATGAACTTCACAGAGAGAATTTCAAATATCACGGCAGGGCTCTCTGTTGTCCACATCCATTTAAACCAACACCACAATATTAAAAACACTTGAAGAGACAGAAGAAACTGAAATTTTATACTGAGAGAGCTGTCACAGGTTTTTGCACAGCTGCTCTTAGTTTCAGTGCTATTTCATGTTTTGAATCCAATTTTGACAAAAATAACTTGGGGTGGGGAGGGAAGGAAATGGGGGAAGGAATGAGAGGGCTTTGGTCACTAACATTGAAGGAGATAGGACTTGGATTACGAGCTTCTTGTAATAAAGCATTCCATCTGAATAGTGGATAGAAATAGAGACCACAGCTATGCAATGTAACAAATTTAGATTAAATACGCGAGTAGTCAGAGAATAGGTTGCTTTACTTTCAATCTGGCAAATAGGGATGACTGCAACAGGACCCTTAGTATCAAATAAATTGTTGTGAGTCCAAAAAGAAAACAGAAGTGAGGATTTGATCCATGGTTTTGCATTACTTTTGTTACCATTATTGGAATTTCATAGGACATTAAATTAATTTCTTAACTAGTGGAATAGATGAGTAAACAGAGTAATTGATGGAACTGTCTCTGTGCAGTGCTGAAGTATGTGTAGGCAATGTGTGTGTTGCTGTGAATTTGACATTTGGGACTGAGTCACTGCAGGCACAGCCCGTTCCTGTACGAGGCTCCTGCTTATTTTTGTGTCTTCAGGAGCTGATCCCAACTGTAGGGTAAAGTGGAAGTTTTAGTGCCATGCATAGTCTTCTCTATCTCAGGTTATCAATGATGTTTCACTTGTGATGGTTTAGCATTAGAGTTGTATTTTCTGTGCACCTTAAAAAAAGCTACAGTGACTAAACTGTAATAATACAGTAAGAAATGGTGTCCCAGCAAAATGGCTTCATTTAGCATTCAAGAACCTGCCTGGAAAACTTTAATATCCACTCATGTGTATTGGCAAAGAACGTGTCTCCAGCCTTTACGTTTAAAGGCGTAGAAATTCTGTCTTTAAGAACTTTGAGGGGAACAAGAAGGCCAAAACTGAAGGAGTAAGAAGTAGCATAGGGTTCAAAGACATGTTACTACCTGATACCTGCACAATTTTAGGTACTTTGACAGCAATGCTTATGCAGTTGCTTTTGTTTTTTTTCATGCTAGCTCAGATTAAGATACAGCAACATTAACTGCCAGGATGAGGAAGAGTGGTAAACTGCTTAAGAGAGAAACTTGTGCTCATTGTATCATGTTTCATGAGGAAAATGTGACCTTTGTTTGCAATGAATAAGGAAGTTTATGGTTCTTACATTCAGCTTTTGATACACATTATAAAGGCAGGGCCTGGTATCATATGCACACTTCATAGTGACTAAATCCAAGAACTCAGCAAGATTCGGCTTAAACTGAAGACCAAAGTAGGGTCACCTAATTCACGAAATTATAGAGGCAGAGAAAACCAGTTTTCTTTAACAAAGACACCTGAAACACACGGAAAAGCTGTCTAGGCAGGAAATGGTTGAAGGCAATTTATTAAGCTGAAGACAAAAGTTGGTTGGAAGCACTGAGACCTGCTACCTCCATGTCTGACAGACATTGAAGTCCAACAGCTGTATGTGAATGGCACACTGAAAGAAATATGAATACATGCAAGACATGGCCATCTTAAGCAAAAAATCCTGTACCAATTGTCAGTCTTGCTTATGCTTAAGCCTTCAGCAAGAAAAACCACCAGCAAATCCACTTTTGTAAAGAACTGCTTCAGAGAATGAAACTTCTTGAGAATGAAACAAATGATACCTCTGCTGCATATGACTCTCCTTTGTTCTTAAGCCAGTCAAACTGCAGTTCTTAGCTCTTAGGCAAGGTTCTCCTCCAGTAATTATTCTGAGTCAGTGGTTTAAGAAAGATCAGGGCCCACAACTTTGAGATTTTAAATTGCTTTGATTCATTTGAGTAGTTGTTGGTGGTTTGAACCAGCATCTTGAGTAAAGTGCAGTTTGATAGCTGCACATGTAAGCTTTTTTGAGTACCCTGTAAACTTAATTCAACTTACAAGCCTCCCTTAGAGTAGCCAAGTGTTTCGAAGCCAAGGCTGCGCCCACAGCAGGGGCAGATAGCAGTGGGGGCACAGATTCCCTTTTCTCCTCTGTCACTGCAGCAGCTGCCCGTTGGCACTGACACAGAGCACTGTGATCCTCAGAACCACCCGTGGGCATTAGGCAAAAGGTACGGAATGTGTGGTATGGAGCAGAAAGCTGCTGCCTTCTGCTGGAGGAGTAACTCCCCTGCAGCATGTCCTACTTCTGCAGGCAGGGAAAGCATGTCTATCCTGGGGCTAAAAACACCTCCAGGCGGGGAGTAATCAGACATTGGAATGGGCTGCCCAGGGAGGTGGTGGATTCACTGTCCCTGGAGGTTTTTAAGATGAGACCGGATGTGGCATTTAATGCCATGATCTAATAACCATGGCAGTGTTGGATCAAGGGTTGGACTTGATGATCTCAGAGGTCTTTTCCAACCCAGTTGATTCTATGATTCTATGAATCTATCAAGGTTTAACTGTGAAATGGGAATGAAAGAGGCTTTAGAGCCTTTCAGCTCCAAAGGAACTTGGTTCTGGTCTCAGTTTGTGTCTCAACTCCAAGAAAAAATACTAATTTATATTCAGCAGTTGCTGAAAGAATTCAGAGAACAGAAGCTGGAAGTAAGGGCCCTAACCTCTTTGTTACCCAGCCTACCTCCTGGGCTCCACAGCAAATCTCTCAATAGTCCCAGATTTAATGTGATATAGGGTAGAAACCAGCACAAGTTCCCTCCCTCCCCAGAGCTCCTGATGGGCAGGCAGTTAACACACTGCTGCAGGCTTTCAAACACTTTCAGTGAATAAATAGATCCCAATTTATTCTTTCCTGTGTTAGTCTGCAGCTACCCAGTCTTCACTCAAGAGGGGACAGCACAACTACTGAAATATGTAAGGCAAACTGAGGTGTTGGTGTGTCCTAAGTACAGCTGGATGAGCCCTGCAGAGGATTCATCAGTGCCAGTGTAGCCAAAGCAGTAGCACTTCTTGTCACATCCACAGGCCTATACTGAGGAAATCCTCTCCAGGAAAACTGATGGACAGGCCTTTGGGAAAGCAGGAACACAGGAATTCATAAACAGTATGAAAAGCTACAACTGAAACTTTCGCTTGGACTTTTCAAAACATTTTTTTTAAGATAAAAAATATTTGATTATCTCTCTTAAAAATGAAATATATTACTCTTTCACATAAAAAAATTCTCTTTTAAAAAGGAATATTTTACATGGCTCTCTAGGTACCATTGGTGATTTGTTTCTACATTAAAAAAGTAATATTCCTCTGTCAGTAATCTGTTGTTCAGGGTATCTGCTTTCGGGGTGTGTCCACGAGGATTTTCAGAGACACTGGAAACAGCTAGGAATAAATTGTAATCGAGTTTTAAGCAGGATTGCGTGATGCTGCTGGTGTTCATCTGTGACACGTCTGTGCACTTAAATCGGTTTCTGTCAGCCATCACAAGTGGCAGCGCAACTCTGAGCCACCTCCACCTTTGGCACCTCCGAAACCTTTCAGCCCCGGGCAGCTGGATGCGGCAGGGGGGGCAGGGGCTGCGGAGCTCCTAGGCTGCGGAGCTCCGGGGCTCCGGGACCGCCCGTCCCGCGGCTGTCGGGGCTGCCGCCCCTCCCCGTCCCGGAGCCGGCCCGGCCGCTCGTCCCGCTTCCCACGCCGCGCCTGGCCACAATTTCGGTTTCACTTCTTCCGGCTCTGGGCAGAGTGCTTCCTCATGGTTTTCGTGGGCTCAGGAACTCGTGCAGTGGCAGGATGCTTCCAGACTAAAGAGGATAAAGCCCCAGGTGAGTGGGTAAAATTCTTTACTTCATAGTAATAAATGTGGATATCGAGGTGCAAAGGCAAAGTGCTGCTCAGGAGTTTAGATGATTTCTTTGATCTTGCGTTTCTCTTAACTTTCAAGCCAAGTCGGTGCCACTGAGTGTGCTTTGGTGCTTGTGCCCGGATATGGGTCCCCAGCAAGCAGAACATATTTTTGTGTTTTTAAAGAAAAAGCAACATAGGTACAGTGGGAAAATCCCTCCCTGGGAGATGCTGAATGCTTTCTTGCTAAATTCTCCAGTTTTTAAAGTTCTTGCTCATAACGTTAAAACTGTAGTTCTGTCTTTTGACTATCTGTAAAAGTGTCCTTTAAGTCTGATAATGGGTGTGTGCTTTCTTCACTAGACCCCCCCCGTCAAAGCTAAAACACATAAAACTGACTCCAGATTTCCTCCAAGAAAAAAACAGAAAAAGGCAGCCCATCGGGCCTTGCTGGAAGTCAGCCAAGAATTCCCTTTTTGTGATTGTGCAATACATTTCTTGTGCCTTTCAAACTTGGAGAGGAGCTGGCAACAACTGCTGCAAAGCCTGGCAGCTATCTGATCACCCTAAAACAAACCCTGAGACAGATGCAGACCAGGATGCAAGCTTCTGTCACAGACAAGCTTCCCTTTTGTTTTCCTTAGCGTTTCCAGCAGCTAGGGTGCAGAGGAATGAGGTAGGACAAGTGGGCCTTTATTTTCCTCAGCTATAGGGACACGGGTGCTGTGTCTGGCAGCAGCTGTAGCAGGCCAAGCTGCCTGCAGGACCAACAGATTCAGTTGCTGTCCCCACCCCTTCCCTGTTTGCCAGTGGTGAGCAAGTGGAGAGCCAGGTTGTGTGAGCTGCAGGACTTGGGTCCGGCCAACATGCGGTAACCAGCAGGGAATTGTCTTTCATTAAGGTTTAAGTCATCCTTTGCAGTCCTTTGTGTAAGCCTTTGCTATGCTTTAGGTCTGTCTATCCCTCGCTTGTATCCTCACTTCCATGGGATTTTACTAATGTCTATCCTTAGATGGTCAGATTGCTCTCACAGTGGCACTCACAAGGTTCCCCTCTGGCCACTATAATGTGACTTTTTGTCCTAAAGTGTGCCCTCTGAAAAGGCAGGTCAGCTATGGAGCCAAACTCTGCTGAGGTCTGACCTTCTAAACTCCTGCCTGGCTGCAGGTTGCAGTGTCAGTTCTTTAGAGTGTCTTGTTATTTTAGTGGAAACTTGTCTCTTTAGAAAACATCAGTTCTGAAGGATTCTTCTTTTTCTATACAAATGTGCTGGTTTAATTTCTTGTCTCATTTCTTGCTTTATTGTTTGCTATTGTGTAATACTCTAAGGTGCTCAAAGCTTGATCATGTTAATTAAACACAGGTTCTAAGAAAAAGAAAAGGGGAACTGTAGAACTAAGAAAGCTCATATTCCTGGGATTTAGTCTTTTGAGAAGCTCTTCCTGTTAAGTCTAGGAAGGTTAAATTACCAACTATAGACTGTTTTGTACTGGGGCACTAATACCATTCTCTAGCTGGGAGAGCCCATGATACTGAGATTTTAACTCACTGGTTAATTGAGGTTGGCAGGTAGGTTCCAAATTTATTGGCAGAAGGCAATACAGATATGTGTGAATTGAGATTGTGGAGACACTTATAGCTTCAGGGTTGAAAGTATAAGCTTTCTGTTTTTAAAAAAAGAAAAAATTGAAGAAAGGAACCTAAGCTTACTGTTCTCTGCTAAAGCATGGAAAAAACATTCTGGCAAGCACTCACAAAGTATTTGTTCTCCCTCTACTAAAGATCAATTCTGTAGAGAATAATATGAAAGGTACATAGAACTCTTCATTAGCAGAAAGGCTATTTATTAGTCAAGCTCTATGACTCAGCAGGCTGGTCAAACCTTTCTGAGTTCTTACAGCTCTATTCTGGTCAGAATTTATGTGGAATTAATTTTCTTCCTTATCCAGTAAAGCTGCATTACTAGATCACCAGGTGAATTTAAATCTAATGGATGCTATATGAAAATGAACAAAATGTGAAAAAGCCTGAGATTCATTAGAAATGTAATGACTAAACAGGAAGAGCCATAGAATGGAAAGAGGTTGATACTGTTATGGAAATGTTCAAATGGTCCGGGGTGGGGTATATAAATTTTTAAATGTATAAGTTTTCCTGGAAGTATTTGGATAAATGTATTGAATCTATGAGTAGTGCCTACACTTTGGCTCTTCTCCATTTCTCTGATTAGGTTGGTACAGATTTATTTTGTCTACTCTTACTTTCTCATACACTTTTCTATAGCTTGGTATTCCTTCTTTTGCTATGAGATGGAAAGATGGTTAGAATTTTGTGACTAGCTTGTAAAATGAAAACTGGCAAGAACTGTAAAATGAAGTGGTATATTATGTATTCTTACTGCATATAACTATAAATATTTTATATGTAGTTAAGCTCAGAGCTCAATGATTAACATTAAGGGGCCTGTGTACAATTTATTATATTTATGGTATTTTATGCATGTTAAAGCAATGCAAAATTAATCAGAAAAGGGAAAATGGTTGGAAATTTGCATTGATAGTAGATAAAGTTGGTAGCTTTTTGAACATACCTACTTTTATGTTAGACAATATTATTGCTTTTAAATAAAACTCTTTATTTAGAGAGATATTTAGACATAACTCTTCTGCAGAAACGAATGCTACTTTATGGGTTAAAAACACTGAGTGTTTTCTCAGTATAAAACATACTTTTTGAGCCTGGCTGGCGTAGCCTTCAGTTTAAGATGCAAGTTGAGTCAAATTGATTGTAATTTGCACTGTGTTCATTTTGCCTTTGCAGATAAAATAATGGGAAGTGCTATTTTTTGGTGGAGCGGCTTATCTGTCAGACTCTTGTTTGTCTGCTGGCTGTGTACATCAGTTGGAAAGCAATGTCAGATCCGAAATGAAATGGCTGACTGCAGTCACCTAAAGCTTACTCAAATTCCCTTGGATCTTCCAGACAATATAACAAGTTTGGACATTTCTCATAATCAGCTAAGACAGCTAGGTCCTGCAAATCTGACCAAGTACAGCCAACTGGTTTACCTGAATGCAGGCTACAACAGCATCTCTAAACTGCAACCAGAATTGTGCCAAAATGTGCCCCTGTTGCAGATTCTGAAGTTAGAACATAATGAATTGTTTAAGCTCCCTGACAGAGTCTTTGCTTCCTGCACCAACCTGACTGAACTCAACCTAGGATACAACAGACTAAATATAAAAAATTATCCTTTCAAAACCCTGGAGGTAAGCTTTAGAAATGCACATTTTGATATAAATAAAGTATAAATATGATATAAATAAAGTATAAATAGGGAAATTACTGTATTTTTGCAGGGTGTGTGCATAACAGCTGCCTTTGCATCTGAAAATACCCAACATAAAATCCACAGTTTTTCTAAAGAAGAGGCCTAGTGGCTTTTTCTTTTAAAGCACACAGGAGTTTCAGCCATCCTTATGAATCAATGCTCTCCATTCCTTTTTCCCTGTTGCATCCCTTTGAGGCACCTCTCCATACAGGATATGTGCTGAGAGAACAGCAGCAGCAGCTGATGTACTTGGCAAAGTGGATGGTGTGGAATCTGAGTTGCCTGGGGTCTAAAAGTGGTAGCTGGCCTAGGTTCTCAAGGTTGACGTGTAATTATTCAGACCTTGAAGGCCAGCGCTTAGGTTGAATGTAGTGTCTCTCAGGACTTTAAGAACTGACAGAGAGTAAAAGGGGTTTTATTCTACCTTTGTTTTTCCTGATAGTTTACATGTGGTTAAACACTATTCTCTGGAGCAGAGGTTGGGGGATCAGCACAGGAGGCAGGAAAGGACTATTCCACTGTCTTTGCACCAGGCAGAGAATCATGCAAAAGGAAGAGCCTAAGAACACAGGAAAGTAGAGACACTGTGTGGATACTAATTGTTTTTCAGTGTTCTAATGAGTGTGCATGTTGTTTTGAACAGGTCTGAACTTTTCTGCTAAACACAGTATTCCAGTTCAGTTATATAAAATGTACTTGTTTGCACTGTAGGACTGCTGACTCTCAACTAAATATGAATGCAGTCAGCTTCCATGCTGGGAACAGAACTGAAGTTCTAGCCTTCCTCACTTTGCTGCTGCCACGTTACTGATGAAGACCAGGCTTGGGACACCTCCATGCACATTCTGTAGACTTGCCTTTAGGGCAGCATATCGTCCTCTGCAGGTGCAGGAGGAATCTGAGCACCTGGGCATGAGCTGAAGTATTGCAAAGTGTACAGTACTGATCTTTTTAGGCTGCTACTGCACTCCTCTTCCCCGTCCTCACATCCCATTTGTGGGGCTGGACCACAATAAAGAGAGTGGAATGCAATGTTTAATACTGTGGTAGTTGTAACTGCAGCCACCTCTAGGCTTTTGTCACTTTATCTGGAGCAGGAGGGCTTTCAGTGAATTAAGGAATTTTAGCTAAAGTAGTTCTTTGGTTTGCAGTAGATACTTTAGCAGATTAAGACCATGAATGCTATGAAAGTAACAGGTCTGAAAGATACAGAAGGCTTCTTCCTGCAGGAGCTTGAAAGCTGCCATTTCCCTAATACAAATTTATTTTAATTATAGCATTGCAACTAATTCTAATCAGACTCTAATGAAATATTTCTTTTTTTTTTTTTTTTTTGTGTTATACATCTTCTCTCCAGAACTTGAATATTTTGGATCTATCTCATAATTCTTTAAAGTCGGCCAATTTAGGATTGGAGCAACAGTTGAAGAACCTTCATGAGCTCATGTTGGGTAGTAACCAAATCACTGAATTAAAAAAAGACGACTTTGGTTTTCTTAGCAACACCTCATTGAATAGCCTTGATTTGTCATCAAATCCACTGAAAGAGGTAGGAAGAGTTTGAACAGAAATTCAATGGGTGTGAGTATAAGATGGAACTATTCTGATTTATCCTTTATGGTTATATGGCATTTATATTACAATTTTGATCCACTGAGGTCAAAGATAAAACCATTCTGTTGTACAGAGCATCACTCCTGACCTGTAGTAGTGGTACATATAATTATCTTCCTTGCACTGAAATTGGCACAGGCTGGTTCCATGTTGGTCAGAGGTCTCAGGCAAAAACTGGATCGAGATGCTCTGAGAACCCTTACCTGGTATTTTCTATGCAGATTTTTTTACCATACTTACTAAGCAGGGAAAAAGTTGATATTACACAAGGCTAATTACACAATCCAGGTGTTACTTCCTAGTTAATAAAAGAGAACATTCACTTGTGCCTATGGGGTACCCCAGAGAAATAATCATTGCAGAAAACTATACTCACTCCTTTAAAAAAACCAAACGTGGGTGTGCATCTCTTTCACCTACCTGACTGTGCTCTCTGACCTGCTTCTCAGTGTTATAATATGATTCTTTCAGGAGTGATGGTGTGGCAATTCTAAATTAGTTGACCCTCAGCATATGCATACTGAATACGCATTGAATTTCCTTGGTTTGTTTGGTTTGGTTTTTTGTTTGTTTTGTTTCCCAATTGATTGATCTCTAAAGAACTTTTACATTGAAATTATAAGAATATTTTAAAGTGGCATAAGCTTGTACCACTGCTAAGAGGTAATCCCACCACTGTCTTTTGCTTGGGCACTTCATCCCTCCCTCTTTCTGATGCTAGCTTTAATGAGGCTATGCATTGGATCATTGGGGAAACTCTACAGATTTTTTTGGTGTGGTTAGCTTGTAGTTACACTAGTTCCTTATCTGGTTCACTATGTGACTGCATGTATGGCCATACTGGCACAGGGATACAGTGTGTGGATAAGTAGATAGGACTGCTCCTTTCTTGGGCAGTGCTACTGAATGCTAGTTTCAGCTACTCAGATTTTACAGTACTGCTATCTGAAAGCAGCCTTGTGCATTTGAATAATTTTGACAAATAGAGTATTTAATCACTCAGCTGATACCTTAATCAAGATGAGGGGCCAGTGCTATGATAGAAGCTTGTGATTCATATTGTGGAAGCAGGTGTGAGTATTACATTTCATAGTAGCTTCTGCTTGCACAGAGAAACTAGGTTTCTTCTTGGCTGTCTGAAGACCTAATAACTTTTTTACAGTATATCTGGTTTTGTACTAGGATATTGGTATCCCTAACAGATACCAATAAAAGAAAGCTGAAGAAAGATATTATCACAATTTTTAGGATACTTCTAGAGACAGAGTTTCAGTAGTTGGATAGAAAATTGTAATTAACTTGCATCTCACTAAGCAACTTCCTATCTTCTTCTAAAAAAATACTACTTAGATGTATGATAATCATGTTATAAATTATAGAAGTATTATCACAAGAAGTGTAAACTCCAAGAAGTGTTTGTCTGAACTTGGCTGTGAAACAATCTGAGTGTAGTAGTTCTATTCTGCTTGAAAATCTCATTTGAAAACCTTTCCAAGTCTTGGCTTTATTGGTCAGCTTTCTTACATAATCCCCTTGTTTAGGTCAAGACTCTTTTTTTTCCGTTTCCTTTCAGTTTCATATGGGATGTTTACAGACAATTGGAAATCTGTTTGGCCTCATACTGAACAATGTTGAACTTGGTGAAAATCGCACAAAGAAACTTTGTACAGAATTATCAAACACAGCGATTCAGAACCTCTCACTCAGCTACGTGAAACTTTCATACATTCGCAAGTCAACTTTCCGGGGACTGCAAGGAACAAATCTTACAATTTTAAACCTTTCCCAAAATTCTCTGTCTGTGATAGAAGATGACTCATTTCAGTGGCTTTCAAGTTTACAATACTTAAACCTGAAGCATAATAATATTCATGTATCTTCACGTTCATTTTATGGATTATCCAGCCTTAAATATCTCAATCTCATGAATTCACTTACTGAGAAAATAGAAGATTTTTCCTTTCATTGGTTATACCACCTGGAGTACCTTATAATGGATAATAACAATTTTCCAGGAATTACTGCTAATATGTTTACAGGTCTGAACAACCTGAAATACCTGAGTCTCTGTAACTGCAACATAAACTTACAAAGAATAACTAATAAAACATTTTCATCACTTGGTAATTCCAGTTTGCAGGTTCTCAACCTCACAAAAACCAGAATCTCTACAATAGAAAGTGGGGCATTTTCTTCCTTGGGACATCTGAAAATTCTTGATCTTGGTCTCAATGAAATTAGTCAACAGCTCACAGGTCATGAGTTTAAAGGTCTCTTTAATATACAAGATATTTATCTTTCCTATAATAAAAACTTGACTTTGCGAAGTGAATCATTCATTTTTGTCCCAAGCCTTAGGAAACTGATGCTAAGGAAGGTAGGTTGCAGTAATCTGGCACTTTCTCCTTCGCCTTTTCATCCTCTACGAAACCTGACTGTCCTGGACATCAGCAATAACAACATAGCAAACATAAAAGAAGATTTGTTTGATGGACTTGACAAACTTGACATACTAGATTTGCAGCACAATAATTTAGCTCGACTTTGGAAACATGCAAATCCAGATGGCCCTGTTCTTTTTTTAAAAAATCTTCCCAATTTGCAAATTCTTAATTTAAAATCAAATGGGCTTGATGAAATTCCAGTTCAGGTTTTCAAGGGTCTGTTTCAATTAAAACACTTGGATTTAGGATCGAATAATTTGAATTTGCTTCCAGCAACTCTGTTTGATGACCAAGCCTCTCTGAATTCATTGAACCTTCAGAAAAATCTGATAACCTCAGTTGAAGAAGAAGTATTTGGCCCACCTTTCAAGAGCTTGAGAAAACTAGAGATGGATTCCAATCCCTTTGATTGTACCTGTGAAAGCATCGCTTGGTTTGCTGATTGGCTTAATATGACCCAAGTAAATATACCTGGACTACGGTCTCAGTATATTTGCAACACCCCACCTAAATATCATGGTAGTCTGGTTTTGTATTTTGATAGCTCGGCCTGCAAAGACAGTGCTCCATTTAAACTTCTTTTTGTGATCTCTACCACTACTGTGATGCTACTCATTTTTATTGTCCTAACTATCCATTTTGAAGGGTGGAGAATAGCTTTCTACTGGAATATTTTAGTAAATCGAATACTTGGTTTTAAAGAATTTGACAGACAACAAGAAGAGTTTTATTATGATGCCTACGTTATTCATGCAAGAGAGGACAAGAACTGGGTGTCTAAAAATTTCATTTCTCTGGAAAAAAATAACCACTTTGAAATTAGGTTTTGTTTAGAAGAACGGGACTTTGAAGCAGGCTTATCTGAATTTGAAGCCACAATTAACAGTATAAAAATGAGCAGGAAGATTATTTTTGTTGTGACTGAACACCTCTTACAGGATCCCTGGTGTAAAAAGTGAGTAGGATATAAAATTTTATCTGTAAGGGGGAAAAGCTCTTAAGAGATCTTTTTAACCAGATAATTTTTTATGTGTGATTTAATAAAAAATAACATTTAATTAAAAAAACCCACCATGCAAAATTCGCTTTAATAAATTTACTTAATATATTATAACTTCAGAATAATTCCTGAGTTAGTAAAGTTAATTGCTCTGCATGTACATACACTATTGGACATTTGAACATCTCAGTCAGTGTTTTAGGCATTTGTTTTGTTTTGTTTTTTTCTCAAAAAGTTAAGCTGCCACCTGTGGAGATTGCTTTCCTTAAAATTACAGTTTTGAAAAATGCTGATTTTTATTTGCCTTTAAATGAGTCTTTTCACCTTTCTTATGTAGTGATCTTTTAAAGAAAGGAATTTTGCTAAATAAAGGTATATCAAGATAGTAGACTTAGGTTATATTTTTAGAGGATAATTTTTTTTTTTAGTTAGAAGGCAACTAATTTAAGAAAGGTAATGACCGTTCTATATCACAAAATAGACATTAAGACCCCAGTTAAAAACTGTTTGTCTTTTTTTTTCCCCGTGTGAAAAAACCCATTTATTTTTGTCTTGTTTTTGCTTCAGATTCAAGGTGTATCATGCGCTTCAGCAAGCTATTGAGCAAAGTCGGGACTCCATCATACTGATCTTTCTTCATGATATCCAAGATTTCAAGTTGTATCATGCACTTCACCTGAGAAGAGGAATGTTCAGATCTTGCTGCGTCTTGAACTGGCCAGCCCAGAGAGAACGAGTCAGTGCATTTCATCAGCAATTAGTGATGGCACTTAAATCTAATAGTAAAGCACACTGATTTTTGAAAGTACAGATTTGAATTATGGGGTCATTTTGTTGTATATTTTCTATCACTGGAAAACTAGCAAGCCTTCATGAACATCTGAAAAGATTTGTCGTGCTGGAAGATACATAAGAGTCGCTATAATTTAAATTTACTTACCTATGTACATGTTTTTGCTGATATTTTAATTCAGCTGCACTGATGTTAAAATGGATCATGATTGATAGTCATTTCGGTCAGTGTATTAAAAATGAGGTAGAAATTCTGAAATGCAGTGAGAATGACTAATGTTCTAGGTCAAATGCCCATCTGATGTAGGATAGAAAAGACATAGACTCTAAGGGGATATGCAAAAGAGAATACATTAATGATAAAACGAGCAAATTCTGTGTAGAAGGTAGAGTGGACACTGCTTCTTGCTTTTGTAACACAAGGGGAGATTCCGTGAAACTAAAACTGGAAAGCTTTCCTTGTGAAACACAGTAAGTAACATGGAAAATTACTTCTGTAGTTCAAACCAAGAAACAGCAGTTTCAAAGTGAGTTTTAAAAGTTTTAAGAGAAAGTCACTGGGCCCTGTGAACAGGCTGTTCAGAACATGCAGTGAAGGATTTGCTTATGCCTTCTGGGTGGGGCTAGTACTGGTGACTATGAAAATTGATTTTCAGGCTGATGAGGCAACTGATTTAATCAATTTGGTATCATGCAAAAAATTTTTTTGCTCTTCCCTGCTGAAATTCAGAGAGCTGGCAGAAGGACATTTGTACTTAGAGATGTCCCCTTGATTCTGTGAAGGCACATAAACTTGTACGCGGGCCTGTAAATAGAAATTGAAATTGACGTGAAAGGTAGCGAAGGCACAGCTGCTGCACCTGTAAAAAATGAGTAAAGGCGTACGTATTTATATAGTAAAACCAGAAGACAACTTTGTGGAGAAAGTGGTGCTACTGTAATTTCATTACGAAAAATTTCGTTACTGGTGAAACAACAAAAAAGCCATACCCTCCTCCTCAAAGAAATAGTTTTTAATTTTTTCTGAACAGTTACAGGTAGAGTAGGAGAAAATGTCAAAAGTAGATGAATTTCAAATTTTTTGTTTCCTTTTTCTTTATGACTTTACAGAGTTTTGCCTTCGATAGCTAAAAAAATTAATTTCTTGTATAGTAGTCTAGTTTAGTTTTTTCTTTAACATACTTTACAGAAACATGGGCTAGCTGGCAGTCACCAGGGCATTAAGGTTCAAACATATGAACTACCAGCTTGATCTGGAGAGAGCTGAGACTGAGCAAAATGTGCTCTCAAAGGATGTTTATAATGTTTAAGACTGGTCAAAATGTTATAGTGTGTCTGAGCACAATTTATTGTAAATTAGACACTAGACAGTAATTTGTATATTTTTGTTAATATTTAATTGCTGCTATAAGGACTTTATAAAACTATGTCAACTTTTGGTAAGTGTGTGATCCTTCAATAGCTCAGGAATATTTTAAAATATTTTTAAAATTTTCCCCCTAGCATATTCCTCATCAATTTCAATACCACCATTACTACAAGAATGTTGTTTTACTGCTTTAGAAGACAGCTTGCATATAGTTCTGTACTTAACGTTTGAAACAGCTTCTCTCCTGATTTGTTATATGCATAGATGAAAAACATGGGGTTTTAATAGGTTTCTTATGTCCCATGATGATAAAAACCTAACCGAGACAAATAATTAATAAAATAGGTTTTGCGTGCACTGGAATAGTGAAGGAGGTGTAGATGTCTTCACTTGCTTACAAGTCCTGAGTGAAGACAAAAAGGCTCTGTTTACAGCTGAAGTGATAGATGATGATTCCGTAATTACAGTAATAGGATTATCCCCTTTGTGATGCTTTCATCTCATCTTTCTGACCTTTTCAGGCAAGTGACAAATTCTTTCTTTATGCTTAGGCCATGAAAATTGAGGAGGCAAGCTGGTAAGGATGGCGTGCCAGGTATGCACCATGTCAATTGTTCTTTCTCTTATTTAAAGACTAACATGTGAAAGGGTTCCTATGTTTCCTAAATCTGTAATGACACATAGCAGCAGAATTTCTCTTTCCACATCAATATAAATTGTTTCGAAAATGTTAGCAGTTCACATGGATATTAAAAATGACATAAAAATGCAGAGAATGCATGGAGAAATGCTGAGGTGAAATGTGATAAAAGAGGTCAGGCTATACAATTAAATATATGATCAAATGTTTTTTTCTGACCCTTAAAGCCTGACAAATGACAATGTGTAAATTCTATAAAGATTTTTCTCTTCACTACAAATGTCCTCAAAGTTGGTTTCAGAACATGAAAAAAAAATTATGAATGCTTAGTTTTGTAAAATAGATAAGAATACAAATTAAAAGTACTTGCTACTGAGTGTAAAATAATTTTAAATGATAAAAATATGATTATGATTTCTAAATAGTTATTTTAATATGTGGATTCAGTTTAAAATGATTTCCCGCAGAAAAAGACATTAAGGCTCACAATGAAAATTAGACTAATGTTTAAAAAAAAAAAAAAAGCACCAGGGCAATAAGGACAGGGCCAGTGGTTATCAGTTGTACCAGACAAAATTTTCACATAAATTTTCCCTGTTTGTCTAGAAGTTACCTACTCCTGCTCTGCTCCTGTACATTTGTTTGACAGTATTATTGAGGCTCCATAAATGGGCTTTCCATGGCTAGGATCTGTAAGTGCTTTCAGGATTCACAGTCCATATCTGAACTGTCTAGTTTCTTTGCAGTGGGCAGCATCAGACTATATTATGCTGATTTGCTGAGGAGTTGAACACCAAATACACGAAAAGTAGTTTCAAACTTGTAATGATAAAGATAGTACCTAGGACTAAAGAGGAATCATTTGTATTGAATGCAGAATATGTAAAGGACTTGAGTGAGGCAGAATGGTCAGGTCTGGAGATTTGGGGTGGAACCTGACTGTTTCTGCAGATCTTGAATGACAGGCAGTCATGGTTTAGGAATGGTCCCCAGTTTAGTGTCCCCACTGAAACACTCCACACCGCTTGCTCCCCACCCCCCTGTGGTGGGCTGGAGAGGAGAATTGGAGGCACAAAAGGTAAAGATCATGGGTTGAGATAAAGACAATTTACTGCAGACAGAAATGAAATAAAAACCTAACAGTAACAGGAACAATATTAATAACAGAGTGTACAAGAGAGGCGATTGATTCACATGCAAATGCTTACCATGCAGAACACAATGTTACCCGAACCGGTTGCTTCACACTACCCAACTGGAAGGGACTCCTTTTACCCCTGTCCCAACTCCCCTTTGCTTCCTACACATGGCATGAGGTGGTATAGAATTATCTCAGGATCCTAGCCATGCTCCTCCTGGCTACTGGAAAAACCCCATCCTGGCCAGAGCCAGGACACAGGGAGTAATGAACAAGTTACAGTGCTGTTCATAATAGGATCTATTCCAGGTCTTCATGTGGGGGCTGCAGCTGAGATAAATATACTACACACCAATGACCTCAATTATGCTACTTTCATTGCAGCTCAGTTAGGGCTTTTTGGCATGGTAGGAATAAATGCAGATTGTGCTGCTGTTAGGTTTATATGCACCTATTCCATGAGGTTTCATCAGAACATATTTATGTGCACCTATTCCGTGAGGTTTCATCAGAACATATTTATTCCAGTTTGTAAGAAAAAGGCCAAAAACATCCCAATTTCAAATCTCAGTCCTCTGCTTAGTGTTCCATGTGCTCTCTCTGTCAGCTTATTGCACTCCCTGATGTGCTAGGAAGACAAGACAGGGATAAAATCCCCCACTTTATACCTTGGTTTTTGTGTACCAGTAGATGCCAACCTTAAATTGATAGTGTAACTAGTTGCTTGATGTATGATCCTGAGGATCCTACCTATAAAGCAGCTGTGCCAACTTTCAGCCTCTGCTGTTCTTTTGGACACTGCCAAGGGCCATTCTACATGTTCATATTCCGAGCTGGCAAAATGTCTGCCCTGTCTATAATACCAACCATTACAGTGTTCCCAAACTGCTGTTGGAGTGGTCACACTTCATCCAGGCAAGAATCCAATGTTGGAAAGCTAGGGCAAAGTTGGAAAGATTTGCCCTGTCCCCACTTGTGTGCCTCCAGCTGCCTGGCTTGTGCCACTGCTGTGGGGGTTTTTAGCACAAGAGAAGAAGGTCGTTCATCTGATTACCCTCTAGTGCTCTCCAAACTGCATGGGATGACTGGGAGCAACTTTAAAGGCACGCGTTGGTCTCCAACTGCTCCTTTCGGTGTCTGCCTGGTGCGGTGATACAGGTGTGCTGGGTTGGGTCACTCTGGCTCCCCCCTTCTGTTAAACCCTCTCTGCTCACAGATGTGTGAAGCGGTGCCCTGCTGCCCTGGCAGATGGTCTTCGTTTCTGCTCCTTAATACTAGGTGGGATGCTAATCGGAGAGGAAATCCCCCTCTTTATTTTGTCGGCTCGCAGGCTGCAGCAGGTTGCTGCGTTGCGCTCGCAGGTGCGCGGGCCGGTGGGGGCGGCTCTCGGGCCTCTGGCCGGCGCGGTGCTCCCCGCCCAGGGCGGTGCGTGCCCGCCGGGGTTTGTTTCGCTTAGCAACGCCTGTCGGGCCGCAGGCGGCGGCAGCTCCCGCCGGAGGCCGCCAGCCCCCTCCAGCCGAGCTTGCGGCGCCGGGAAGGATCTCCCGCCCGCCGCCATGAAGGTGGCGGAGCCGGGTCCGGGTCCGGGTGCCCTCCCGGCCAGGCTGTGCCGCGCCCCGCCGCCCTCCAGCCCGCGCCCCAAGTCCGGCGGGGGCCGCGCAGCGGGCAAAGGCGGCCGCCCCCCGCGCCCGGCTCCAGGCGCGGCTGACAAGGAGCCCGGGGGGCGAGCGGGCGCCAAGGGGTTGCTCATCACCCTGCCCGACATCGGGGAGGAGGCGGCGGCAGAGGGCGAGGAGGCGGCCGGCATCCCGCGGCGCCCCGCGTGAGTGCGCGCCCCCCACAGCTGAGGGGAGCGGGTGAGGTGTGCGCCCCTCCCTCCTGGGGGTTCCCCGCACCTGCCTTTTCTGCCCATGGGTGCCCTGAGAGGTGCGGAGCGTCTCCTTGCGCAGGAATTCCCTTCCCCCGGGTGTATGCCGGAGGAAGCGCACCTGTCTGGGCAGGAGCCGTGGTTCGTGCGGGGCTTTAAGAAGGGAAGCTCTGGAGCGGCCCAGGGGGCCCGCCTGAAAGGGATGGGAGTCAGAGCCCGGCCCCGCACGGGCTGAGGAAAACTGCCCGTTCCGAGGGGAACAACGCCTCGGGATGCGCAGGGGGAGCATACCCTGTCCAGAGGGAGCGGAGGGGGTGCTGAGCTTGAGCAGGGATACCGCAGGTAAAGATACCGCATATAGGTGGGTGAGTCGTATCAAACTCTGTCCCGAAGTTGCAGCTGCGCATGAAAACAGACATTTCAGTCATTGTCTTGTAAAATTCTAAAGTGTCAATAACAGGTGTAAAATTTAGTTTGGATGCTTCTGTGTTTAATCTAAAAACTACACCCTGAAAATATTTAGGTTTTACCTGCACATAAAAGAAACCTGTTAAGTATGTGTGCTTTAGGATCTGGTTGGTGATATTTTACTACAGCAAAAAAAAGTTGTTTCTTAGCATATTTAAAACTGAATAGCTTACTAAAATCAGCAATAGTTGTATTATTGTATTGATGAATTTTTGTGTACTCTTACAAAAAAAAGCTGCGTGTATGTAATATTAGTACATAAACATCTATAATTGCTTTCTCTGTAGTACTAAACTATGCTAATCTTTTATATTACTGACTATTTTATTGGGCATTGATAGGAGTGAATATATTTTTGAGAGTTAAGTTTTTAACTCTTCTGTCCTGAAATCTCTTCAGTACGCTGTTACTCTTTCAGTTGGAATTTAGAACCTCTACTTTTAGTTTGGTTTCCATGTAGCATAACATTTAAAGTTAAAGCTCAAAACCTCACTAATGTACTTCTTTATTTTCCGATCAAGAGCGTTTTGTTTTTGTTCAGAATAAATTGTAAGCTCTTTCAGGCTTAAACTTTTACTGCATTTGTGTAAAATAGCAGCCTTTTGCTAATAGGGAGGTTAATTTGGTTTGAAGTGAATTGGCAAGAGTTCTGTTTAGAAGGTATTTGATGCTTTATATAAACAATGCCAGAACAAAACAGTGTCATGTGCCCATAATTTTCCCCTAGTTGCTTCTTTTTTTAGTACCAAAAATAAAGCCAAGTGAAGTGCTGCACAAGTTGGTATTCCTGTTGAAATGCTGATGACTTTTATTCTTAAAAAAAGAAAAGGATGAAATTCACTCTTAAAACAAATGATTGTATTGGAACAAAGAATAAATCCTACTACATTAAAACTGTTTGTGTGCAGCTAAATGCTTATTTCGACTTGCTATTGAAACATTTCTAACTGATACCACCTAATTATTCCCGTTTTACTTTTGTATGCATGGTGACATTTCAAATATTTTACTCATAGAAGTTAAGATCGTTCTGATAAGGTATTGTCTGTCTTAAAAAAAACAAAACCAAACCAGAAAGATGTAGAAGAAGGAATAAGATATATCACTTTGACAAGGAAAGTCTATACCTCCACATTAGCATTTTTTTAATTAGATGGTTCCACTTAAGCTTTTATAAGAAGCATCCTAATTAAATATTGACAACTTTAGTATTCCTTGCCTACAGTTGAGATTTGAATTTGTGAGTTACAGAATACATTATTGATAGGTACATGTTAGAAGCTTTTGCTTTCCCTCCAAAGAAAGTTCCTCCATAACAAGTTTTATTGCTGTTTTCTTGCTGTTTAAAATGTTTTAGAAGACATCAATGGCCAGTGTACTTTCATTAATAGCAATGTAACTAGAAGTAATTGGTTAATAGATGAAAAGATAAATTTTATGTCTTAGTATTTTTTTCTTAGGTACTAACAAGTTGATAGCAAACAAAATACTGTAAGAATGCAAAATAATGAAAATCTGGCACTTGTTTCTTCTTAACTTTTCCAAGTATTCTGAATTTTCTGAGCTTTTCAACTACCAACAACCGGTCCTGATACTTTATAGGGCTAAACTATAGCAGCACATTGTGAGATTTTACATTTATTATTTATTTATGTAGTGATTTCATATCCTTTTAATTACATTGAGGAAGCATTAATGAATTAATCTTTTTTTCTTTATAATGGAGAAAAAAATCCACTTTTTAAACTCTTATTTAAAAAAAATGTTCTACTATAAAAATGAAATTTCTTTGGAAGATAATAAGATGCTTTATGCTATACTTACACAATATGCTGATGGCACCAAGATACATAGATTGCTTTTTAAGAAATATTATTATTGCTATCCTAACATATTGCAATAACTAGCAAGATAAGAGCCCTTACCTGGTCTAAAGTAAATTGGGCAAGGCTTAAGTTATATTTCTTAGGAGTGGGTAATATTTTGTAGAAACTAATCCTACTGATCCCCTAACACAGGGAAAACATGTTTGTGAACTTGGTGCAAGAAGGGAAGCTTTATCTGTGAGGTACAAATGTCATGGTCTTCTGTCAACTTTTATTTCTCAGCAGCTCAAGCTTTGACCTTCAAAATTATGAACTTTGAAAATATGGGTATAGGTAACTTGATGAGCTGCAGAAGAGGATGGAAACTGATTCCCTGTCTCCTGTTTTAAGCACTAAAAGCAATAGATCTCTTTCACATATGTAATGCATACTAACAGAGCATTGCAGTGTTACTTAGCTGGTCATTTCCATTTTTATACTGATCTAAAAGAGTAAATATAGTAATGTAGTGGTTTGCCATGGTCCATTTTTTTCATTGCAAATAACTCTAAAAGAGCGCAGAAATGTTTTAATTTTATATGGTACTACACATTCATCTACATCTTCTAAGTGGATAGAACTAAAAATAATTCCTAACGTATTGAAATATTATATGTAACATGAGGTTTTTGGAAAATCTTATGAATTTTCCAGCAAGTCGCAGAGTCATAGAATGGTTTGGGTTGGAAGGGACCTTAAAGATCCTTCAGTTCCATTCCCCATGACATGGGCAGGGACATCTTCCACTAGACCATGTTGCTCAAAGTCCTGTCCAACCTGGTCTTGAACACTTCCAGGGATGGGACATCCAGAACTTCTCTGGGCAACCTGTTCCAGTGTCTCACCATCCTCACAGTAAAGAATTTCTTCCCAATATGGAATCTAAACCTACCCTCTTTCAGTTTTAAACCATTCCCCTTTGTCCTATCACTACATGCCCTTGTAAAAGTGCCTCTATAGCTTTACTTCAGGCCCCCTTTAGGTAATAGAAGGCTACTCTGAGGTCTCCTCAGAAACTTCTCCAGCTCTCTCATCCTACAGGAGGGGTGTTCCACCCCTCTAATCCATCTTCATAGCCTTCCTCTGGACCTCCTCCAGTAGGTCCACGTTCTTCTCTTGTTGAGGCCCCCAGAGCTAGAGGCAGTACTAGCTAATCAGCTAGAGAATAAATGTCAAAAAAAGCCTAGACCCTAAAACCAAAGGGTCTAATTTTTGCTCTAAGTCTTTTTATTGTTTTCAGATGCTGAAAACTTACTCTTGTGTACATTGAATATTAGCCTGTGTTGTTTATAGGAAACTGAGATGGCATGTTTACAACCAGGCATATTTCTGATGAAGCGCTCAATAAGTTGGTTACTAGGTCAGCCAGGGAAAGGAGAAGAGGAAAGGCCCTTGGCCCATGTTGTTACACTTAACTGTCATCGTGAACGCAATCTTGTGACTTGGGGGACTAGAAGTGGATTCTACTTTATATATTTTTAGTCATTTGTCAATGTGGAGTTCAGTGTGCAATTTTTTGTGGGGTATGACACTTTTTAGTTTAGATTTGGCCCATAGTGGCACCAGATCAACTTTTTTTCTTCACCAATATTTTTGGTAACAGAGAAAATTCTTGGATCCTGCAGTAGTTTGGTGGAAGTTTCTGGTCTTTTCAGTGATGAGATCATTCCTGTCAGCTTGATCAAGATCTAAAGGAATTAGAGATTTCTCTTCTTGACAAATTACTGAGCTTGGGACTGAATGCTGAATGAGTCAGTTTATTCTTACTGTTGCTATATCTTTGTTGAAAAAGTTTTGAAGTGATCTGAATGTGTACTTGTGCATGTGTGTACACTATATGGAAAATAAGAGTGGGGATTTTTGTGCTGTTTTGGCTCCTTCCCTTGAAAACACATTTTCATATTGTGCAATACATGTGCACACAGACTGTGTGTTAGCACAAACTATTTTTACCTGATTCTTTACATTATAATTTTCTCTAAAATGGAAAACTTAAGTAACCAATACAAGAAGCAATTGGTAAAAATCTCTGGGTTTTTATTGTTTTTCTTTTTTTCCTCTTACTCCTGTATTTTTTACAAAAACATATTCTAATTAGTTCTTAAAAGCTCTGAAAGTATGTGAGGATTAACACATAAAGCCTTTTAGCATTTTTGCTGAATATATATATACACATACACATTTTATGCTCCAATCAGAGAGTTTGGAATGTTTTTGGTAATTTTTTTTTTAATTCTATAAATCGTAAGGGATAAATCCTAAATAGTATGCTTTAAGCAGTGGTATGTGTTATGTTGCAATGAGGTGGTTTAACAATCTCTAAGAATATTGTTACAGTGTTTTCTTTGAGATATAAATCTTCATAGTAGTGAGGCAAAACAAAACACAGCATTCAGTTGTATGGTCAGCAAATAACTGTCCGTTGATAAATAAAACAGAAGCACACATAAAAATGTTTCACAGTTTTAGTCAGTTAAAAATATGGGATTACATATGTCAAGGTTGAACAAGTTCTATCTTAAATCATCAGTACGGCTACAATAACTTGTCACTTGCTAAAACATCTCTCAACTTTCCAAGCAGTGCAGAGGTAAAACATTACCTATGCATAGCTGATGAGAT